TCCCAAAGGGAAAGCCCAGGTCCGTTAGCAGACACTGCCCTTTGCTCTCATCTCTTACTCTTCCCTTTATTCCCCCAAGTTCCTGGCAACCACTCCTCTATTTCCTGTCTCAGTGGATTTTCCTATTCTGCTTTTATTTTGTTTTATTTTTCATATAAATGGGATCATGTACTATGTGTGGCCTTTTACATCTGTTTTCTTTCATTTATCATACTGCTTTCAAGCTTTATTCATACTGTAGCATTTATCAGTACTACATTTCTATATTTTTTCCATTGTATGGATATTCCACATTTTAATTATTTCAGTTGAAATTGGCACAGTAAAATAGGATTGAGGAATATTTTTATTGTGATAAATGAGTCTGAAACTGCAGTGCATAAAACCCATATAGAGTGGGCAAAGGTAAGGGAAGCCAAAATAGGGCTAATAAAGTTAGTGAATAGGAAGCTTTCCAGAAATCAGAAATCACAACAAAAGTTTCAATAAGGCCCTGGCGGCATAGCTTTTGGTTAGAGCATCATCCGGATTTGCCAAGGTTGTGGGTTTAATCCCCAGTCAGGGCACAATTGACCAATCAGTCTGGCCAGTTGCTCAATGGTTAGAGCATCAGCCCTTGGATCCAAGGGTCCAGGTTCGATTCCCAGTCAAGGGTACCTGGGTAGCAGGCCCAATCCCTGCCTGACCTGGGCAGTGTGCAGGAGGCAACCGATAGATGTGTTTCTCTCTCTCATTCTCTCCCCCCTCCCTCCCTTCCACTCTCTCTAAAAAATATCCTCCAGTGAGGAGGATTAGCCAAAAAAAAGAATCAACCAATGGATGCATATAAGAAAGTGGACCAACAAATCTTTCTCTCTCCCCCTCCCTCCCTTTCTCTTCCTTTATTCTCTCTCTAAAAATCAAAATGTTTAAAAAAATGTTACAGTGAGAATGAAAAAGATTGTGATCAGGAAATTTTCAGAATTTAAAATATTGGAGGCTTTGAAAAACTTTTAAGGCTGAATCTGTACAATGAGATATTATGAATTTGATTTTCTAAATAGTAACTTTAGTTAAAAATAAAATTGTCAAGAATCTTGATAAATTGACCTTTGAAATAATTTTGTATTATTTTAAACTAGAGGCCCAGTGCATGAAATTCGTGCACTGGGGGATCCCTCAGCCCGGCCTGCACCCTCTTGCAGTCCGGGAGCCCTCGGGGGATGCCCAACTGACAGCTTAGGCCTGTGAGTCCAGCTTCTGGCACACTGACCACCAGGGGGCAGCTGCATTGAGCGTCTGCCTCCTGGTGGTCAGTGCGCATCATAGTGACTGGTCGTTCTGCCATTGGGTCAGTTTTCATATTAGCCTTTTATTATATAGGATTATAGCCAACCGTAGCTTAAATTGAATGTTACAGATGTTCTTTTTTGTAAAATTGGAAACATCAATCAGTTATAGTTTCCATAAAACAAAATAAC